CTGTGAGGCATCCGAGCCACTCGGGTGGTCTGGTCCTCCGACTCTCCCGAGGTGGTGTTCACCTGGCCACGGCATGGCGGGTGGTGCCGGCAGGAGGAAACGATGAGGAAGAGGAGGATGGGAAGGAAACATGAGGAGAAGATAGGAGAAGAAATGGGAGGGAGGCGGAGGAGGAGGAGGGTGGTAGAGAGGAGCGCTGGGAGGGAGTTGGAGATGCGGCATGACGAAGAGGTCAGGATCATGGGAATGGGGAGCTGGAAGGGAAGGGGCAGCGGAGATGTGGACGGGGAAGAAGGGGGAGGGGATAAGTGGAGGAGGAGGAGGAGGAGGAGGAGGAGGAGGAGGGATGAGTCTGCTCCCCCCTCCCTCTTCTTCTTTCCCCCTCCTCCTCCTCCCCTCCTCCTCTCATTCTCCTCTCCCCTTCTTTTCTCTCTTTCCGCTCACCTCCTCCCTCCACCTCCACCTCCTCCTCCTCCTCCTCCTCCTCCTCCTCCCTCCTCCTCCTCCTCCTCCTCCTCCTCCTCCTCCTCCTCCTCCTTCCTCCCTCCCTCCCCTCCCTCCCTCCCTCCCTCCCTCCCTCCCTCCCTCCCACCTCTCCCTCCCCCGCTCGCCCATCCCCCGCTCCTCCCCCCCCTCCCCCATCCGAGTTCCGCGTGGCCCGCGAAAGGCGCCTGGCCGCCCCGCCCCCCGCGCGCGCCGGGGCGCCTCCTCGCCGGGAGGGTCCGCGGGCGCCGAGCGCCTGGCGGCGGGCCTGCCCTCGCGGGCTTCCCGCTTGGCCTTCTTCTCCTCGGGGGGGCGGGGCGGGGGAGGAGGAGAGAAGAGAGAGGAGGGGGGGGAAGGGGGAGGAGGAGGAGGAGGAGGAGGAGGAGGCGGAGGAGGAGGAGGAGGAGGAGGAGGCGGAGGAGGAGGAGGAGGAGGACGAGGAGGAGGAGGAGGAGGAGGAGGAGGAGGGCGAGGACCACTGTAAAGCCAAGACTAATCAACGACGTTGAGATACGCCCGCCCTCCGAGATCCCTGTTCGTAGGCCCCTGCGAAGGGCCGTTTCCACTGCGTGAACCGCCTGGTTGGGAGCCAGCCGTATGAACATCGTCTTGGCGATCCTGAATCGCGCCAGGACGCCATTCCTGGGACTTCAACACAGCGAATAAACATAACTGTGGCGCCCTGACAATCCTGATTCGCTCCACAACGCCGTTTCCGCAACCATGAGAACCAATGGAACTCTTGCAAACGTTTGAAACGAGTGCGCGCGGCGCTAATACCAAAACCACATGTTGAAACTCACCCGCCTTCAATGCGTGAAATTCTCGCGACCGTTTACAAGGAATGTGCGCGGTGCTACAGCGAGAACCACATTTTGAAACGATCTGGCCTCAATCCGTGAAATTCGTTCACATGTTTAAAACGAAAGTGCGCAGCGCTAAGGCGAGAATCGCATTTTGAAAACCACCCGCCCTCAATCCGTGAAACCCTTGATGGTGTTTCAAACGAGGTTGCGCGGCGTTAAGGCGAGAACCACATTTTGAAAACCACCCGCCTTAAATCCATGAAGTTGTTGCCATTTTTGCTAGTCGGGAAAATCTAAGAGCACGAAGGAGGTCTGGACTGCCAACGCTTGCGTCAAGCACAATGCAATTCACTCAAACTGGTCACTCAGGGCCCGCCGCTGGCCGACGAGAAGGCGCAAAGGCAAAGGGGAGGCCGAGGAGGGGGGGCGGAATGCGCGGGATGGCATTCAGCGCGAATCTGCAGGCGGACGTAAAAATCAAGAACTGGCCGAACTTCGAATGACAAGTCTTGCCCCCCCAAAATCCGTGCAGAGGAAGGGGAGGAGGAGGAGGAGGAGGAGGAGGAGGAGGAGGAATGAGATGCAGCAGGGGCCGAGCTCAAAACTAGGATGGGCCGGCGCGCCCAAAATTGACCTGCCGTCTGCCGCAATCCTGCTTTCAACATGGGATGGCGCCGGCGGCTCATCCAAGAGACCAGCCGGCAACAAGCGAAAACTGGTCATCCCCAGGCACTCGGAAATCCCCCGCGAACGCGGCCCCAGCCGGAACGGATCCAGCGAACAGCCACAACGAATCGGAGAAAGCGAAGCGGCAGCGGCAGGGAGAGCCGGAGGAACGAGCTGGACGAGGCGTACAAGGAGCCCGGGCCGTCGAACGAGCTGCGCGCACGGGCCCCGCCATAGAGCTGCACCATTGGGGGGGGCAACGACAGGGGGGGGGGACTGGCGTCGGGGGGGGGATGCATCGACCTGGCATCGGCGATGCGTCGCCGATGGATCGGCGACGGGCCCCCGATGGTGAATCCGCACCTTCCTGGGCGGGTTGGGGCCATCGCCATCGGACCCCTGTCGGCGATCAACGTTGGCGGCGCGCACAAGGGGGTGGGGGGAGGGGGGGGGGCTTCTTAGAAGCAGGCTGCTGCTCTTAGAAGGCGCGGCCTTACATCTACAGATAAGGCCCGCGCCTTCTAAGAAGCAGGGGTGCTTCTAAGAAGCCCTCCCCCTCCCCCCACCCCCCTCTGCGCGTGGCTGACAGTGGGCGATTGCATGTCGATGCGTCCCCCCCCTGTGCCTCTATCCCCCCCTTATATCGCTGCCCCGGAACCATATGTTCGGGGAGGAGCGAGGGCGAGACGGGCAGGGGAGGCGGAGAGCAAAAAAAAACACCCCAGCAGGACTGGCTGGCGCACCGGCCCCGGAGGCGAGGGGGGGAAGGACGAAGCGAGGGCTAGGTCGGGCCTGTCCCCCTACATGGGGATTCTCGACGAAAAATAACAAATACTCCAAAAACCATCCAAAAATAATCTGGGGACTATTTTCTAAGATTTTTGTTGGACTTTTGGAGGTAGCTTTGGGGTATTTCTTACTTTTCGTCGACAATCCCCCTGTAGGGGGACACGCCCGCCATGACTCTGGATCCGCCCTACTTTGGGGAAGTTCGTAGGCAGGGCTTGGAATTTCCGCCCTACTTTTCAAGCCCCGCTGATGCCAATTTCCGCCCCACTTTTCTGCTGCTGTTTCCGCCCTACTTCTGTGGATTGCCGCCCTACTTTATGCTGGGTGCAGAACTTTCCGCCCTACTTCTTCGGCCTCTGATAGGTGGATTTCCGACGCAGTTTTAAGTTGGGAAAAAAGCCAAAGCAGGGCGGATCTGGAGTCAGGGCGACACGAGGCGGGGGCTGGGGAACTCCAGGCGACTGCCGGGCGCGGCGCGCGCCCCGAAAGCTCCCTCGGCCGCGCGCGCGCGGGAGGCGCCGAGGTCGCCAGAGGGCGCGCGCCGCGGCACGGCAGAGGCGCGCGGCGGCGAGCGGCGTGGACTCAGAGATCCAGCGTGTTGAAAAAATCAAGACGGAGGTCTTTCCCCGTTTTCGGCCTTTAGTCAGCGAGCGAAGAACGGTACCAAATAGACTGTTTCGCCGTCGGGGGCTCCTGTCCCAGGGCGGCTGGAAAGTTTATACCCTTACGGTGGCACAGTAGGGGTATAAACTTTCCAGCCGCCCTGGGACAGGCGCCCCCGACAGCGAAAAAGTTTATTTCATACCGTTATTCGCCCGTTCATTTAGAGGCCCTCGCCGGGCCTCGGGACCGTCAAAAAACGACTCAGGGTGAAAAACCGGTCCTGGGAAATGGGTCGAGACTTCTGGGGACCGCGTATTGAAAAAATCACGACGTCAGATCTCTGGGGACTCCTGGCGCGCCTTGCAGGGCTCGAGTTACCCAGTGCTTTCCGTTTTCGTGTTGTTCTCGTCATCCCCAGTTCTGTCTTCGTTCCACACTTGCTGCAAAACGAAGTCAAGACGAAAACGGCCCACGAAATTGCCAAAACACCGTTTAGCTCGAGCCCTGACTCCTGGCGCGTAGAGCCGAAACACGGCGCAAACCGTGCAGGCTCGACCCGGCGAAAAGTTCAGCGCGCGCTGCCTGTCGTAATGGCGGCGGCCAGGCACGATCGTTACCACGCGGCCCTGGTGGAGGATTGCCCAGAACTGGCCAGAGAAGCGGGCCAAGGAGGAGGAGGAGGAAGAGGAGGAGGAGGAGGAGGAGGAGGAGGAGGAGGAGGAGAACGGAGGAGGAGGAGGAGGCGAGGAGGAGGAGGAAGAGGAGAAGGAGAACGGGCTTGATCACGACTCCGGCGCCGCCGCGTCGGGAGGTTCCCGGGGCCCGCCGCGCCGCCTGAGAGCCGCGCGGGGCCTCGGCGAGCCGGAGGGGCTCCGCGGCGCCGCGGGCCTCGGCGGCCAGAACGGCGTCGCGTCGGCGCAGGAGGCGACTGAAGGGGAACTGGGACACACAAATAAATACACACAAATAACAATATCCCCCATATTTTCCCCTATTTCCTGGATTTCTGTCTTCCCCCCACTTCCCATATTTTCCCATATTTTTTCCTGGGGATCGACGATTAATTGTGTCTGTGTGTTTTTCCCCCTCCTGAACGACTCAGCACCTGCCGCTTCCAGCTGTGCCTCACCGCGCCGGCGCACGCGAGGGCCTGCGCATCCCAAGCGCGCGCCAAGAGGTCCCCGCGACGGGGGCGCCTTGCCCGGGCAGCGCCTGCGCGGGGGGGGCCGGGGAAGCGCGACTTCGGCAGCGGCGAGCGCATGGGTCGACGGGGAGGTGCCCGAGGCGCGGCAAACGAGGGCCTTCTGGAAGATGGAGACGGAGATGTTGCGGCGGCTGGACAAGCGCTGCACTTGCTCGTCAGTGGGCGCGGGCAGGAAGGCGGGAGGTAGTCGGCGGCGGCGGCGGTAAAACCTGAATCAGTCATGCCGGGGGCGCTGGCGTCGCGGCTGGTGGACAGGGGGCAGTCCAGCAGGTGCAACGCCACGTCGTTTTTGAATGTCATGCAGCTTGAGCCTGCGATGGCCCAAACGATCGCCAATCCTTCGGGCAGTCAACGGGCGGCGGCGCCGCCGGACACCCTGTCCTGCAGGTCGTCTATGACCTGCGCGCGGAACGTGCCCATACCCGCCTTCACCGCCTCGTCGCGCGCACTTCAGGGGCACCAGGCGGGCCACGCCAGCAGAACGCGGGAGGAGGAGGAGGAGGAGGAGGAGGAGGAGAAGGAGGGGGAGGAGGAGGAGGAGGAGGAGGAGGAGGAGGAGGAGGAGGAGGAGGAGGTCACGCAAGTAGAGCCGGAACCGCCCGGGTGGCGCGGACGGGCCGGCCGCGGCAAGCCGTTGCCACTGGCCTGCCCAGTGCCTCCTCTCCTCCTGCATCTCGAGGAGTGAGAGGCCCGTCTGGCAGACCAGCCCTGACTCCTGATCCGCCCTACTTTGGGCGATTTCGAAAGTAGGGCGGAAATTTCCGCCCTACTTTTGAGGCCCCTTTGAGCGTCGATTTCCGCCCTTGAGGCTCCTTTGGCGTCGATTTCCGACACAATTTTAGGTCGGAAAATCATCCAAAGTACGGCGGATCAGGAGCCAGGGAGGTGCGCGACCAGGGCGCGGGCCAGCGCGTGCTCGTCGGCGCGGAGGTGGGCGCTGAGATCGCGAAGATCGCACGCCCTCCAGATTCGCGCCGAGGGCCAGCCGGACCAGGGGGGGCGAACTCCGCGGGCCGCGGGCGGAACTCGGCGCGGCGACGGAGTGCGGCCCACTTCTCGCTCGTGAGGGTCGTGCCACCACAGGTCGCAGAGGCTCTCGGCGGCGGCGCAGCCGCGGAAGAGGCCGAGCGGCGCGGTGCGGCGGGGCGCGCTCGCACACGGCGCGTGTTTTCGAGCCTCGCCGGAGCAGCGCGGCCAGGAGGCGGCCGAGGGCGGAGGCACTCGCGGGCGCCCAGGAAGGGAGGGGCCTCCGAGTGCTCCGCACGGCGCCCCAGAAGGTGGGGTCGCCCTTCTCCGCGAGGTCGGCGAGCAAGCGGACAGCGCCCCGCGGGCGCCACCTGCCCCTGGAACTGGAGAGGGGCGCGGGCCGCGGCGGTGCCCAGCACGGATGACCACTGCGTGCATGCGGCCTCTGCGCTGCTCGGAGCGGTGCTCGCAGCGGCCTGGAGCGCTCGGCTGCCAAGCTCCCGCCACATCGGAGGCCTGGACGGCGTGGTCCGCTGGCGCTCGCGGACCCACGGGTCGAACGAGCCGGAGCATGTCGCCGCGGCCCTCTCGATCGCCTGGATGTCCCCCCTACGGATCGCTGTTAAGTCCGCCTCCGGCCAGGCTGCACCATCGACCATGGGGCCCCGACAGCTCCGCGAAGCGGAGGCGGGCCTCAGAGCCACGTCGGGGCCCCCTCTGGCGAAAGGCCGAGGGCGCTCAAGGCGTCAGAAGCCGAGGGGGCGTAGGCCAGCGAGCGGGGGGCCATGGCGAGTTCGCCCCGGGAGTCCAGGGAACGCGGGGCGACAATCGGGCCGTCCACGCTGGGCGGCCTGCACGAGCTCGAAGAACTGCAAGGCCCCATGCTCGACGAGTGCCGTGAAAGGCGATGCCGTTGTCAGGCCCGGCGCCCCCGTCGGCGGCGCCCCGGCGCCCGGCTTGGGCGCTCCGCTCAACTGCAGGTTCGCGAGGCCCAGCGCGGCGCCGGAGCCCGCGTAGTCGTGCATGTTCGCGTTGTCAGCCGCGGTGGCCAAAACTGCCGCATCTGAGGCTCCAGCTGCTGCTCCAGCCCCATGCGCAGCGCAGAAGTCGCAGCCTGGGACCGCCTCGCCTTGCACCCTGTGGTTGAGGCATATCCGGCACGGCGGCGTAGCCAACATGATAAAGAGAGGAAGTGGGGGAGGCGGCTACGATAATAAAGAGAACAGGTATAGGTGGATAGAGCCCCACAGTTGTCAAGGCTCCTGGTCGGGGGTTTCGCTGCCTTGAGGCCGGGGTTGCACCTTGAGCCAAGGACGTGGCGTGAGCTCAAACTTTTGCAATTGTTTAGGACGAGTGTGTGCGGCGCTAACGCGAGCATCCACATGTTGAAAACCACCCGCCCTCAATCCGTGAAGTTCTTGCAAATATTTAAACGAGTGTGCGCGGCGCTAACGCGAAAGCCACATCTTGAAAACGGCCCGCCCTAAATCCGTGAAGCTTTTGGCGCGGAAAGGCGAGTGCCACATGGTGAAAACCACCCGCCCTCAATCCGTGAAGCTTCTGCAAATGTTTAAAAACGAATGTGCGCGGCACCAAGGCAGTGGCCACATTTTGAAAACCACCCGCCGTCAATCCGTCAAACTTTTGCAAACATTCAAAATGAATGTGCGCGGCACCAAGGCGAGTGCCACATTTTGAAAACCATCCGCCCTCAATCCGTGAAGCCCTTGCAAATGTTTAAGACGAGCGGCGCCAACGCGAGAGCCGCATGTTGGAAAAACCAGCCGCCCTCCATCGGTGACAGCGCTGCCAACTTTGAAGCATCAAGGCCATATGTGGTCAGGAAAGCTCAAGCGAAACGCCCGGCCCGCCCCTTCGACCGGCCTCAGGGTGCGACAAGGAGGAGTTATCTTTGGGGAAAGGGAATGGAGGAGGAGGAGGAGGAGGAGGAGGAGAAGGAAATGAGTGGAGGAGGAAGAGGAGGGAGGAGGATCAGAAGAAGGAGGAGGCGGAGGAGGAGGAGGAAGAGGAGGAGAAGGGAGGAGGAAGCGGAGGAGGAGGCGGAGGAGGAGGAGGAGGAGGAGGGAGCAGGAGGAGGAGGAGGAGGAGAAGAAACAGGAGGAGGAAGAGGAGCAGGAGGAGGAGGAACCCACCGGCGCAGCCGCCTCCGCGAACTCTTGCTCGCCCAGCCGCGCCGACAAGGCCGCCCTGACGCTGGACTCCCTGTCGGGCGGCACATCCCCGCCTCTCGCCCGCCAGAAGGCTTGCCTGGAGGGGGGGCCGCCTCCTCGCGCAGGCGGCGATGGCGAGCACACGGAGGGCGGGGCCGTGGGTGGGGCCGCCGCAGGCAGACGGAGTGCTGGCGGCGAGCCCACGGGCGCGCGCCCCCGGCGTGAGCGAGGCGCGCCAGCCCGAGGCGAAGGCGCGCGAGCGCTCTCTGGCCGCGGAGCGCTCCGCAGCTTCGTGTCCCACGGCTATAGAGCGCGAGCCAGCCCGCGCCCGGCCCCGCCGCCCAGGGAGAGTGTAAGGGGGGGGGGGGGGCGGTCGCGTGTATAGGGCCAGCTCCTGGACCAGCTGCCCCCGACAAGGAGGAGGAGGAGGAGGAGGAGGAGGAGGAGGAGGAGGAGGAGGAGGAGGAGGAGGAGGAGAAGAAAACAGGAGGAGGAAGAGGAGCAGGAGGAGGAGGAGCCCGCAGCGCAGCCGCCTCCGCGAACTCTTACTCGCCCACCGCACCGGACAAGGCCGCCCTGACGATGGACTCCCTGTCGGGCGGCACATCCCCGCTCTCGCCCGCCAGAAGGCTTGCCGGGAGGGGGGGCGGCCGTCCTCATCGGCGCAGGCGGCGATGCGAGCACACGGAGGGCGGGCCGGGGGGGGCCGCCGAGGTCAGACGGAGGCTTTCAGTGCTGGCGGCGAGCACGACGGGCGCGCCGCCCCCGGCGTGAGAGAGGCGCGCCAGCCCGAGGCGAAGGCGCGCGAGCGCTCTCTGGCCGCGGAGTGCTCCGCAGCTTCGTGTCCCACGGCTGGAGAGCGCGAGCCAGCCCGCGCCCGGCCCCGCCGCCCAGGGAGAGGTACAGGGGGGGGGGGCGGTTCGCGTGTCAGGGCCAGCTCTGAGCAGTGCCCCGACAAGGGAGGCGGAGGAGGAGGAGGAGGAGGATGAGGAGGAGGAGGAGGAGGAACCACCAGCGCGAGGAGGAGGAGGAGGAGGAGGAGGAGGAGGCGGAGGAGGAGGGAGAGGAATCGGAGATTTTGGGAATCCAGACCCCCTGCCAAGCATGCAACAGGGAGAAACGGCTCATCCTCCCGGAGATGTGATGACTCTCGAAGCCTGGCCCCCCCCCCCCCCGCTCGAGGTCTGCTCTACCCTGTGCCGCTCTCGCTGACCCAGCCAGAGCAGCGGAGGAGGGGCGGAGGTGGAGCAAACGGGGAGGGGCCCCCGGGGGAGGGGCCCGTGGGGGGAGAGGAGGGGGGGGGGCCCTCGGAGGTACAGTTATCGCAGGCGGGGAGGGACCCTCGGAGGGAGGTCGAGCCAACGGGGAAGGGGCCCTCGAGGGGGGGCGGGGGGCGGGGGGAGCAGCGGGGGGCGAGGAGGGCACTCCTCTGCCTGGGCGGGCAAGCCCGGAAGAGCCTCCCGCGAGCCCCGCCCCCCGCCTCGGCGGGCGCGGGAGGCAGGCGCGGGGGCGAGAGCCCGCCTCCCTGCGCGATCGCCCCTGGCGGTGGGCCCCCCCCAGCCAGGGAGGCGCACCGCGAGCTCTACCCCCTCCCGAAAGGCAGCCCTCTCACGCATCTCTGCTCCCCAGATTTCGGGGGGAGGCGGGGGGGTGGAAGGGCGCGGAACCGTCGGAGGAAATACGACTGTGCGGATACTGTGCGTCGCTCCTCCCCGTCCCAGGTACCTGCTTCTCCGCCCCCTCCTCCCTGCAGGGGAGGAGCGAGAGAGATTGAGACCAAGCGAGGAGGCGTGCAGCTCTCCCAGAACTCTACGTTCTCATAGTGCCAGGCTGCGCCTCTTCGGCACCATTCACCTTAAGCCTTACGCGTTGGCCTATGGAGGAGAAGGCGGAGGAGGAGGAGGAGGAAGAGGACGAGGACGAGGAGGAGGAGGAGGAGGAGGAGGAGCGAGGAAGAGGATGATGAGGAGGAGGAGGATGAGGAAGAGGAAGAGGAAGAGGAAGAGGAAGAGGAGGAGGAGGAGGAGGAGGAGGAGGAGGAGGAGGAGGGAGAGGAGGAGGATGGGGAGGAGGAGGAGGAGGAGGAGGAGGAGGAGGAGGAGGAGGAGGAGACGGAGGAGGAGAACGAGGAGGAGGAAGAGGAGGAGGAGGAGGGGGAGGGGGATGAGGAGGTGGAGGAGGAGGAGGAGGAGGAACAACAAATTTGCACAAAGGGGGGAGGGGGAGGGGGCGAGGTGGCACGAAAGCGCGTGAAACGTGTTCGGCGGCCCTGCCCCCCCACCTTAATGCACAGCTGGTGAGCAGCTGCCACGCGTGGGCTCCACTCGCCCGGCCATAGTGAACGTTTTCTTATTCGGCACCTCGACCTTGAGCCCTGGGAGGGGGAGGAGGGGGGGATCTGGCTCCGGACGTTGTCTGATTCGGTGTTTCGACATTGGGCCTAGGGGGGGGGTCTGGCTCAGGATCTCTGCGTGGCGCGACGGTCTGCAACAGCGCGTCCTGCGGGGGAGGCTCCGCCTGCCTGAAACAGGCGCCCCCCAAACAGCCAAGACCTACTCTATGGGGGGGAGGGTGCGGGGGGGCGGGGGCCCGCGACGATCTGCAAAACAGTATATACATAAGGAAACGATCACATGAAGGAGGGACAACAAGGTTCGACCTTTACGGTGTTTTCCATCGTTCGTTTTTGTTTCCGTTTTCCCCCAGTGTCGTCTGCGTGCCGCCTTTGCTGCAGAACGAAGCCAAAACGAACACGGTCCACGAGATCGCTAAAGCACCGTTTAGGCCGAGCCCTGAGGGATGACGAGGAGGAGCAAGAGGACGAGGAAGACCAGTTGGTGGTGAGTGAGAAGGACGGAGGACTAGGAAGAACGGGGAGAGGAAGGAGGTGGAGAAGAGGGGTCGTCAACCTGACCATGGCAGCCTAGAGACGGCAGAGAGAGGGAGACGGGAGTGGAGAGCGCTCGCCAGCACCTTCTTGTCCTTCTTCTGCGCTTTCTCCTTCTTCTCCTGGGAGCGTGCAGCCAGAAGCAATAGCAAGGAGCGCACGCGCCACGATCGACGGCACAATGGTCTGTCACCAACATCGGCAACACCAGCAGCAACAAGTGCACGGCGTGACTGTGTGCACGCTATGTGCTCCGCGTGCCCACTGAGACGCCGCCGCAGTTGGCGCCCGACGATCAGACGCCGACGGGTTGTAGGAGCAGCGACCTCATCCTGAGACTCACCACTCCACCCAGAAGATGCCGTGCAGCACGCGTCCTTCATGTCTGATCGCGCTCCTATTTCTAAGTGTGCTCGCTTCGAACTGCTCCTGGCCCCCCAGTGGCCAGGAAGTGGCCCAGGACAGGACAGCTAGAAACGAAAGGATCTTGGCCCCCCCACAAGAATCCCCTCCTCCTCCTCCTCCTCCTCCTCCTCCTCCTCTGGGAGGCCTCTACTCTGGCACGCGGAGGTTTGGGAAGAGGAGGAGCTGGCCAGGGAGGAGGAGGAGGAGGAGGAGGAGGAGGAGGAGGAGGAGGAGGAGGAAAAGGATGCAAGGGCCCTGGAAGCTCACGCGAGCGTTTCTCGAGCGATATGCCGGCCAGCGGAGGTCGCTCGGGATAGGCCGAGAATGGGGGCCAGGGTGCAAGGGCAGCCCTGGAAAGGTGGCCCATCCTTCTTGTGCGGTTCGACTGTGCCAAATTAAGAATACTTCAAAAATGCTCAACAGTAGTTCAAAAATGCTCCAGAAATCGTCCCACAACTATTTTTGGACTACTTTTGAATATTCCCCCTGTAGAGGGACAGGCCCAACTGAAGCCTACAGCAGAGTGGGATCTGGAAATCCAGAAGTGCCATGCCTGCATCAGCGACAGGCGTGCACCCAGGGAGGCGAGTTTTCCCTCGAGACGCTGCAGGACGCCGCGCGGCCGGGCTCCCGAGGGGGCCCAGCCGCGGGCGGCCGATCATCGAGGAACAACAAGTGACATAAACATAAAAACTCGGAGGTCCGCGCGGATTTCTCGGATCGGCGCTGGACCCCCCTCCCTGGCGCGCGGAGCGCGCCAGGGGCAGCGCCGGAGGCGCCGCCGGGGGGCCCCAGCGCCGATCGAGAGTCCGCGCGGACCGCCGGTTTTTTTTCTTATGTCCACTTTCTGTTCCACTGTGATCATCATGTGAGCGCCCGCACGCGAGAGGAAGAGGAAGAAGAGGAGGAGGAAGGAGGAGGAGGCGGCGGAAGGAGGAAGAAGAGGAGGAGGAAGGAGGAGAGGAGGAGGAGGAGGAGGAGGCCTCACGCGAAGCATCACAGCGACCTTGCGCGGTGGCCTACGCGGGCCGACCGCCCGGCACGAGGGCGCGCGCGCGCGGGCCTGCGCGGGCAGCCCGCGCGCCGAGGTCGCCGCGGGCGGCCCCGTTGTGCGGAGGTCGCCCGTGTGGCAGCGCCCAGGCGTGCGGGCTCAAGCTCGGGCCCGCGTGGGGGAGGGCACCCGGCCGACCCCCCCCCCCCCCCCCAGCATTGGAGGCCTGGAGACGGGCACCAACACCAGCACAGGGGGGTGGCCTCCACGGGGGGAAGGCGATCCTAGATTTCGGTGCTGGTGGATAATATATATATATATATATATATATATATATATATAATATATATACATACATATACATATCGGCCACCTGGGAAGCCAGAGCAGTACCACCATCACCGAGATCGGGATCTTCTTCCCTCGGTGGAGGCACGCCGCCAAAATGAGTGTTGGTGTAAACCTCCAGGCCTGCGACAGTAGCCCAGAGAGTAGCGACCGTTCTACGTTTGGCAACACTTAGAGGAAAAATAACTATGCACATACACCGATTCTGGCCAGACCCATCCTGAGCCCAGGATCGGTGCATATGCCCTCCTACCTTGGCCAGGAAGGCATATGCACCGATCCTGGGTCAAGGATGGGCGTTGTCAGGATCGGTGCATGTGCATATTTCTCTTCGCCCGAACACCGTTCGGGCGCGCCCCCTGCGGGCGATCTCGGCGAGCCCGATTCGGTGATGATCCTCCTCCTCTTCCTCCTCCTCCTCCTCCTCCTCCTCCTCCCCCTCCTCCTCCCCTTCCTCCTCCTCCTCCCCCTCCTCCTCCTCCTGGGGAGGCACGGTATAATTAGTCCGGGCCGCCGTGTGGACCCACCAGGCGCTCGAAGACTGGCAACGGCTCGCTCGGCAGGTCGGCGGCACCGGCTTCGGCCGTGCTCGACGGCCCCCCATGGGGCTCAAGAGGTGGCGGCGCTTCAGGCGCGCAAGCTTGAACACCCCCAGTTTCCCTCGCCGCGCCCTCCTTACCCTCGTTCGTCCTCCTCCTCGCTCCTCCTTGCTCCTCCTCGCTCCTCCACTTCCTCTTCTTCCTCCTCTTCCTCTTCCTCTTCCTCCTCCTCCTCCTCCTCCTCCTTCTCCTCCTCCAGCATCCCAAGCACCCCCCCTCCCAACAAAGCAAAATCAGCAACCGCATGCCGGGTCCTCCCGCTCCTTCTTGCCGTCCGCCCTCCTGCGGCGGCAGCGGTGCCCGGATGTGCCCGGGCGGGCCAGAGAAGGAGGATGAGGAGGAGGGGGCAGAAGTGACGAGCTCCCGAGGAGGAGGAGGAGGAGGAGGAGGAGGAGGAGGAGGAGGAGGAGGAGGAATCGAGGAGGAGGAACAGCAGGTGGAAGAGGAGGCGGGGGAGGAGGAGGAGGAGGAACAGGACTCCAGGCTCTTCGAAGGTGGGTCTGGGCACATGCTGCACTGGGCAAGGCTACAGCCCACGGCAACCATCTCAGGCTTTCCTGTTTTGTTTGCATTTCTTGTGGAGGATTCGCCAGCAGCAGGGCTGGCGAGCACTCCTGCAACCCTGCAGGCACCCTAAAAAGAGCACAGAGCGGGCACCCTGCCAGGGCCACCCCACGGGCTGGGCCAGTCCTTTCGTCGCGCCCCTTCCTCCCTCGTCCTCTGCCCCTTCCTCTTCCTCTGGCCAAGCCGTGGGGTAGCTTTTGCTGCTGTGCGTCGGCTGAGCCTGGCCTGACCAGACGCACGCACCTCAGGACCGCCCGCTGAGGTTCGCTGAGGAGAGAGAGAGAGAGAGAGAGAAAGAGAGAGGAGGCGGGGGGGGGAGGAGAAGAAAGCGGAGCAGGAAGAGTAGGATACGGATGATGATGTTGAAGGTGATGCTGATGATGCTGTTGATGATGTTGATGGTGATGGTGATGAGGATGAGGAGGGGGAGGAGAGGAAGGCGGATCACGATGGTGAATGTGATGATGCTAATGCTAACTAACAAGATGTTAATAACAATACTGATGCGGACGATGGTGATGATAGTGATGGTGATGCTGCTGTTGTTGATGTTGATGGTGATGATGCTAGTAAAAAGAATGCTGTTGCAGCTGCTGATGATGATGCCGATGCCGGTGAGGATGATGGTGATAATGGTGATGATGATGATGTTGATGATGATGATGATGATGATGATGTTGATGATGTTGATGGTGGTGGTGGTTATGATGCTGATGTTGGTGATGCTCATCATGATGGTGATGTTGATGGTGATGGTTTTGTTGATGATGGTGATGCATATGATGATGGTGCTGCTGCTGATGATGATGCTGATGATGCTGGTTACGATGATGATGTTGATGCTGCTGATGATTAAGATGCAGATGATGATGCTTACGATTCTGATGATGAGTAATATTGTACCTGTGGTGGTGGTGATAATGATGCTGCCGATGATGCGGATGCTGATGACGGTGATGATGGTGAAAATGGGGTCTGGCCCCTGAGGTCTGCTGAGGGGAAGAGGAGGAGGCGGGGTGAGGAGGAGGAAGCGAAAACGGATAAGGGAGAGGAGGGTGATCATGATGAAGATGCTGCTGATGATGCTGCTGCTGATGAATAAGATGATGATGATGATGATGATGATGATGATGATGATGATGATGACTATTTTTCTGTTACAAACCAGAACGATGGCTGCGAGAGCCACCTCAGTATGTATGCTCGGCTGCTTTGCTGCGGGGCCACTTCTGTTGGTTGAACACCCATGCCCAGCTGGAAGCCCAGAGCCGAGTCCCCTGCGGAACAAACAAGAAGGGGAGCTGACCTCAATGGGGCCAGACAAGTCACGCGCGCGGCGACGGCCTGCACGCGCAACCTCCGGCAACACTGGGCGGGCAAACTCACCCACAGATGGCGCGCCAGCCCCGCGGGCCCCACCGGGCGGCAGGAACAAAATGCAAACGACTTGAGAAGGTATCCGCACGGGATGCCGATCAGGAACACTGAGGACACCACTAAAAAGGAAATGTGGAGAGATACCAGACTGATGTCACCGCCGACGACAGCGGAGACAAACAACCTACTCACCGTCGGACCCCAGCTCTTCAGGGAACCCTGCATTTTCTACTTGTCCCAACTGCCGGAGAACATCCCATAACAAATTGATAATATCCTCTTTGGCGCGGGGGGGCACGCCCTCGTAATTGTGCTCGAGAAACGCATGGAGCTGTTTGGCGCCGCCAGGATTCGACGACCACGACTTGATGGGGAACTCGCGCACCTCCTGGCAATTCCCTGTCGTCAACTTGCATGTAGCACCCCACAATGTTTTGATGATGCACTTCTGCGATGCCGAAAGAACACCATCCATGGCCTGGCCGCCCATGGTAGGGGCATGTGGCGGCGGCTGAGGAGGGGAAGCTGACGGCGAGGATGAAACCGCTGAAAACTCTTCACCTGGACCTGCTGGAACCGCGATCACAAGGAGCGCGTGGTTAAGATCGCAGCCCACAACAGTCGCCAAAATCTCACCCTGGCGCTTGTAGTCCACGTCGAGCGACACAACCTGCCCCCGCTCTCGAAAGCGGGCGAACTGCGGGCACCGCTGGGCACGGAGGCGCTCTGCACGGCGAGCCTCCTCCTCCTCCTCCGAGTCAGGCGAGACTTCGCGGCGACGGCAGTCGCGAGCACGGCCCCAACGACCGCGATCACCGCCACGATCACAAAGGTCACC